TTAAGGCCACTGTCACCAAGCTCAGTTAACTTAACTGGCCAGTTAGTCCATCGGAATTGACCAATCGCATTTGTCATTTTGTTAGCTTCAAACAAAATGACAAATGCGATTGGTCAATTCCGAGTTTTTAAATCTATATATTTTTATTGAAGAATATATAATTCCGATTATAATTCCTAATAATTACAATAATCAGAGATTTATGTTAAGTTGCACTTTTTTGTATTCTAATTCAAATTTTATTTTATTTTTTTATGTCTGAGCAGTGTCACTAGACATAAACTCTATAAGCACAAAATGTACCTAGAATATTATATAGATATTATTAAAATAATATAATATTTCGAGAATACCATAAATATGTTTTTAATATTACAGGAGTATTCTCTATAGAGATTATATGTCCACTTATATAATACCCTAGGTATTATATCTTAATATTCCTGAAATATTATTAAAATGCTTATAAATATTAATTATTTTTAATTTTGTGCAATTTGAATTCACAATCCAACGAAAAGTTCTTATCAGTCTATGCTGCATCTTGTGCTAAAAAACCGTTTTAACGTGATTTTAAATACATATCCAGTTCTACAACTGCGCACCAAAATCATTTTCAGTTTTTAAACGTATACTTATACTGAACAGATGTAAGTTTTACAAATCAAAGTGAATGCTATTATCATACTTTTTAATGTTTATACGATATTACAGTAACATTAAATAAATGTTACTTTTAAGGTGAGTTCAGGGAGACGCTATTAGCGCTATTTCTGTCATTCTATCCTTGTTTTATGTCTAATAAACAACGAAGATAGAATGACAGAAGTAGCGTCTCCCTGAACGCACCATTAATAATCATTAATATTATCAGGAGTAGACACATAACCTTCCATTAATATTTCGACAATATCATATAATATTATATAATTTTAATATTAATATAATAAAATATTATTAAAATGTTACATTTAATATTCTAAGAATATGTCTAAAATATTACTTCATATTAAATAATATGCGCTTATAGGGAAATATCCCTTTTTAAGCCTCCAGCAGTGGAATTCTGTAAGGGTTGGTTTATAATAGGCCGTAATCTGTAAGAATTAATCAATTACAGTCGAATAAGAGAAGAATAGTCGATTATGATTGGTCAATTTTTATAGATTACGGAAAAAGTTAACAGATTAATTATAAATCAACTCTAATGCGCGGTCTATAAGTCGTAGCGATCATAGGGTCTTTAGTCGTAGTAAAATTCAATCATAGTCGATTATTCTTCTCATGTTCAACTGTGATTGGTTAATTTTCTATGACTTAAGACTTTACGACTTCTATTGTAAATCCCGCACTAAATCGTAGAAAATTGACCAATCACAGTCAAATATGAGAAGAATAATCGACTGTGATTAGTTAATTTTCTGCGACTTAAAATCCTACGACCGCTGCAACTCCTATTGTAGACTCCGCATAATTCGTTATGCAATCGGGGGTCTACAATACATCTTATTTTCATTTTTACGTTAAAATAAATTTTTAGTGTAAAAATGAAAATAAGAGAAACAATCTTCAATGGCCTAGATTTCAACAAATATTATCTAGTTCATGATCTTAAGCAACATCCCTATAAACGCATAATATTATTTATTATGAAGTAATATTTTAGGCATATTCTTAGGATATTAAATGTAACATTTTAATAATATTTTACTAAAATTATATAATATTACATGATATTCTCGAAATATTAATTGAAGGTTATATGTCCACTCCTGATAAAATTATATAATTATTAAAAGTAACATTTATTTAATGTTACTGTAATATCGTATAAACATTATAACAGCATTTACTTTAATTCGTAAAACTGTTATATCTGTTCAGTATAACTATTCAGTATATGTTTGAAAACTGAAAATGATTTTGGCGCGCAGTTGTAGAACTGGATATGTACTTAAAATCACGTCGAAACGTTTTTTTAGCACAAGATGCAACATAGACTGATAAGAACTTTTCGTTATTGGATTGTAAATTAAAATTGCACAAAATTAAAAATAATTAATATTTATAAGTATTTTAATAATATTTCAGGAATATTAAGATGTAATACCTAGGGTATTATATAAGTGGACATGTAACCTCTATAAAATATTCCCGTAATATTAAAAAAATATTTATGATATCCTCAAAATATTATAATAACAATTTAATTTTTTAATAGTATCCTTATAACATTCTAAGAACATTTTGCGCTTATAGGGTATGGACTGAATAATGGCGTTAGGCAGTTGAAACTTGGTGAAAAATTTTCTTTTACCACTTCAAAACTGGTAAACTTGCCTCCATTCAATTTCGTTTGGGGGCCGTTTTATCCCCCTTATCCTGCTAGAGCCTTTATTCATAACCTTGAAATAAGGCGAATTTCAACCGATTGAAACTCGCCTTATGGATAAGTTTACTGCTATTTCTATTTCCGTTAGATTAAAGCTATCACACGTACAAAAATTTTAGTCGTAATCGTAAAGTCTCAAGCAAATCGACCAATCACAATCAAAATTATAATCTCGCGTTTTAAAACGCTCGACTGTGATTGATCGATTTGCTTATGATTACGACTAAAATTTTTGTACGTGTGATGGCCTTTATGTAGATCTAAAGCAATATCCTGATTGGCTCATCGACTTAAGTTCACGTCTTAAGGTTACTGTTACAGAAATTCTGTCTGCAGGGGTCTTTAACCTTTAAATCCTAAAATTCAGTCAATAGAGCAGTCTTAATTTGTCCCAAAGATGTAGGTCTCTATTCCACCGAGAGTCAGAGTAAGGCCCTGCGCACAATGGAGGAAATATTAGGAACAGGAATAAATATTAAGATTTCAACCTATCAGATATCAGTTACACCGGAATACACGGTTTCTAATAGGTTGAACATATAGGTTTGATATATTAGGTTTGTTCGCGTTGCTTGCACTTTTGGCACTCGGCATCTTCGCTTTCTCTCTTTTCAAGGCCAAATATATATCTATCTCATTTTAAGTGCAAAAACATTTGGGGATTTCATGCAACGCGAACAGACCTATTGTGCGTAGGCCCTTAGGCCGGAATCAGACTACGCATTGAAGATTGAGGTTGAAGATTGAAGATTGAAATTTGACCAATAAGGATAAAGAAATTTTAGCTCCTTTCAATTCGATTGGTCAAATTTGAATTTTTCAATCTTCAATCTCAATCTTCAATGCGTAGTCTGATTCCGGCCTTAGAGAGCCTCACAGGGAAAGAAGGCAACAACAGTCGAGCATTTTCCTCTCATTCGAGTGTAAGAGGGAAATATTCTAGAGACCCTAAAAAGAGAGACTCATCACGTGACTATGGGTGATTCTGATTGGCTGGGGTATGGATCGCACATATGTGCTCCATGAACATATACCATAACCTAAGGTTTGTTCGCGTCGCACGCTCCAATCTGCTCCTGTTCATTCCAACGCGCTCCAATACGTTCGCGTCACCGGAACCAATATGGCGACTAGATGTTCGCGTCGCGTTAGAGTATACTCCATGGATCA